GCCTTCTCATATCTTTCGCATATATTTGTATTAGAATTGCTTTTTTCAAAAAAATTTCTCATATTCCTGGTATTGCTTCTTAGTTGATTTTAGATGTTACAAATAACTTCCACCCAATTTATCATCTGTTCATTAACTTTGTACATACATAGTGCCTGTCATTAAAAATCTATCTTGATGTAAACAGATTATTTTTCTTTGTTTTGCTTTGTACTTTTAAATTTTTAAGAAGTTCTTCCTACTGCCCTCAATAGTTTCCTAGATTTTTTTCTATTAACTTTATATTTTTACCTTTTATATTTTGATCTTTAACCTATTTAGAATTCATCATCGTATGTGGTGTTAACTAGTGTGATTGAATGGATTCTGTTCACTGCTATTCCATTTTTTTCCAATAATGGAAAGACATGTCAAAGATTTTGTAAGACCTTCCACTTGAATAGGACTATACATTTGTACCCTCATTGACTTTGGTGTTGCCCAGATGACTTGCTTTGACCAAAGAAATATGGACAGACATGAAATGGTACAATGTTAAGAAGAGACTTTGAAAGGAATCACATATTCCCATTTGCCCATCTTGCCTTATTGCTATCTACTATGAAAAGAGCAAGCCCCCAATACTGCTATTCCTTCCACCTCTGTTTCAGAATGAGAGATATATAGAGCAACCCTAGCTGATTTCGGCCAAGGCACAGGTTGATGACCCAATCCACAGGCAAGAAGTATGTGTTGCCACAGCAAAACCTGAGGAGTTGATACACGAATTCCTTTTTACTTTTTTTCACAAATAGCCATTTTTCTGTCAGGATGACATAAAGAAGCAAAATAAACTAAAAATTTTCAAAATGGTCTAAATAGGTGTCATATAAAAGTGTAGAAACCACCCTATTCATGATAAAGAGTAATTTTCCAGATGTCAAGTTAATCATGAGCATTTTAGTAGAAACTAGAGTTTACATTCACTCCGAAAGCATATTGCTACATTTTTCTAACAGGAGTGTGCTTTGAGGACATTAAATTCATACACAGTTCTCAACAAAGTGTGCCACTGGGTGTTGAGATCATGATAACTGTCATGTGTGCTTTGGAAGTTCATCTAAAAAAAACAAAGTTAGACAGTCTCTCTAATCATAAGACCTTTGGAAGTTCATCTAAAAAAAAAACCAAAGTTAGACAGTCTCTCTAATCATAAGACCTGTGTGCAGTCATTTTTTCCTCAATCTTCTCCCAAAACTTTCAGCAATACAGGTGGTCGAACCATGACTGATGACTATAATTTTGATGCTTAGAGGTGTTTTATTTACTACTCGGCTTTCTTATTATTTGAGTCATTTAATATACTCACTGATTTTGGCTTTCCTATTTAGTAGTCTTGAAAACATACACTAGTACTATTATAATCTATTGAGGGAGGTGATAGTATAAAATAATTTCACAATTTTTTTCTTTTCTTTCTTAGATTTCTCATTTTTTTCACTTCTCTCCCTTTTCTTATCCTTCAAAACTTGTCTTCTTAAGTTATAGCTCTGAAAATTAGACTAAAGATATTGCTGCTTATGTAAAGAAGTGCATAAATAAAAAGACACAGTATATGGAAATGAAAAGATTGTTATTCTCATCCTAAAACATACCACATGGTAAAAAAAAATAACTTAATAAATATCTAATGTATTCCATATTTGTCTGATATATCTTAATTTCATTTTCATAAAGATCATTATCAATGAGAATAATTGTGTTTCATCTCCCAATAGGCCCACAGAATATGATGATGATGATGATGATTGATGATCACTTAATGGACAGTATGTACCAGGATACTGTACTAAATGTAGTTCTCAGAATCTAGGTTGTTATGCTGTAGTAACAAATCCTGAAATATCGAGGACTTAGTACTATAAAAATTTATTTCTCATTTATGAAAAATTCAATGCGGCTAGGCAGGAATTTCCTACAATTTATTGATGTCTGCCTTCCATGGTTTCTAGGATTGCCAAGGCAGAGAAGAAAGAGAAGAGAAGAAGAAACACACTAACTGGTCAGTGCCTGGGACTAGAGGTGACACATGATATTCTCTCACATTCCCATTTACCAGAACACAGTCTCATGGTCCTATACTAACTCTGAATTAGACCTGTGAATATTGTCATCCTGTCTGTCCAGAAAGTGAAAATGTTGAACAATTAGAATTGTCTTCACTGCATGAATAAAATGTTATCCTTTTATATCCATTCATATTCCTATTAACTTTCTTTGATGATTACTAATTGCAAGCAATCTCAGATTTTTATTCCAAAATCAGTACTACTTTCTCCAAGTGCCACCAAATGGATAAATCATAGGGTTGTTAGAAAAGTTTAAAATATAATGTGTTCACAGAAACAGAATAGCTAACTGGCCATCATTATGTGACCCGAGTACATTTAGCCCCCAATACCTGCTCTCAGCAAAGGACATTCGGAAACCTCTTTCCTGAGTGGAATGCCACCATGTCCAGAATTAGAAAGGTTATGGTGTTCACAGGTTTATCAGCCATCAGGCTTCTTCACTATTATATGGAAATATCATTTAAAAATTCTCTTTTAAAAAGCTTAAAAAGGATGGATTCAGTCATCAAATTTAGGAAAGTTGCTAGATTAATCCTTATTGAGGTAAAAAAAAAATAACAATAAAATGAGAAAACAAAAAAATCAAGTGTCTCCCTAATTCCTGTTTCGTCTCTCATTCTTTCGCTTTGACCTCGTTTCTCTCAGACACTCTCCCTTGGCCATCTCCATAAAAGCAATCGAATGAATATCTGTCAATGACCTTCCCTTACTGTGAGAGATGAAACACAAAATCAAGCCTTTAAGCATCAAAAGAAGACTGGGTTCAAGCAGGCATGTGCCAAGCTGCTGTACCCTGAGTGCCTCACACACCTATATATCTCACTATTTTTAGTGACAACATCCAAAGTAATTTCAGCAGTTTATAAAAAAACAAATGACTTCCCATGAAATTACCATTAGAGCATTTTATGTTACCATAAAAGAGGCACTAATTACCACAGGAAGGCAGGGACAGCTTTATATTTTTCTCCCTAAGTAACATAAAACACTGTAAGCTCTATAGTTAGTATCATTTCGTCATGAGCTCTTTTTAGATTTAAATATAGACCATTTCCAATCTCATTTTGCAAAGCTCATGGTTGAAGAGTTATGAATGACATATTTACACTATAAGCATTTCTTAAAAATAGATATGCCGAATTTATTTCAGTCCCAAATCAAAAATTTGTGCTAAACTTGTGTGAAACAATCACCAGAGAGAGTTTCATATCCAAGCCTCCAATTTTCTACTTGATTCCCTATCAGCAACAACGAAGTTTTCATGCAGATGGAAAGGATTTAAACATGGCAACTTTCAATGGTAATACTATAAAAGTTGTCTTTCTCCTTCAGGCATTAAACCTGGATAAAAGAGGAGGAGAGAGTTTTATTTTATTGAATTACTACAAATTGTTGTCTTGAGATCATGGTACTTCTTGGATAGAATAAGATCAAGCTTAAATTTTTTGAAGTATACTTTTGCTGTACTATATCTTAAAAATAAAAATTCTGTAAGGTCTTTCACATGGGAAACTTAATGAGATAAAAATGAGTACATAAACATTAACTACAACAGCTGAAGTACAAGTTATGTTACATCATGGACTGAATACAATCATATTTTGAACATTGTTGTTTCTTCGCATGTTTAATCTTGCTCTAGGCAATTTCAAATCCATTTTTCTATTTCAAAGCCAACCTACAATTTGTCAAGTTGTTATATTCTATAGTTACAGAGCTGTGTTACCAGTGGGTAGGCAGTAAATACTAGTATAATAATTGTGAGAAGTTCTACACAACAAAACTTGTGTAGAAGTTCAGCAAATGCAATACAGCTGCAAGTGTAAATATTCACATATATTTCTAATAAAGAAAAGTAACTCTGAGCTTAGAGCCACTAAGTAGCCACTTAATATAATTAGTAATGATTGACATAGGACTTGACACAGTATCCTCACTCAAAGTCCAGGAATAAAATAAAAAAGAATTAAAAGAGCCTTGGTATTAAAATTTTAACTATTAGTTATAATCGTATTGTAAGATGTAGTCTTCATAAAAATGCGCCACCCAACTGTACTAGCCTTGAAAAGAAATGAAGTATCGAAAACAACTTGTTCTTGTTTGTTCATTAGAAAGAATCAGCATGTTGTTATTTCAAAATTTATATCTCAAATCCATTCTTCTAGTATTCCTTAAAGACATAAAATGGTGAAAAAAAGGAATATCATGTATTCATTAAATGCCAACTACATGTCAGGCATTGTGCTCTTCACTTAAACTTCAAATATGAAATGCATTCTCCTTGCTTTTAAGGAGCATGTTTCAAGAGTAAGCATAAAAATATATACACAGTTGCAATTCAATGTAATAACTATTCCGAAGTATGTAAGAAATGTAGAAGAGCCTAAATACCTGTCTTAAAGCTTCTACTTGTCCTATCTCGTAACAGCTTATTTATATTGCTTTTAAAGATGTGACTATTACAGCAAAGAATATAACTTTCCTATGAATCGTTTGTCTTTTTGCAAACCAAGCATAAGTTTTAAACTAGGGAAGATTCAGGAAGAAAACCAAACACAGTGTCTATATCCCATTCTTTGAAATTATATCATCAATCTCTTCTATTTGGTCTGGAATTAAATCAAAATAGAAGAATTAGCAGAAATTATAAATTGAGTTTTGTAGGTCATGCACTCTACAAAATTACCTTGCAAAATAGGTATGTCAAGAAAAAAATCTAGCCTACATTCCATATGCAGAACCAGGCACCTTCATATTGGGCCCTGTCTACTGGCTTTGTCAAACTTAGGTAAAGGTTCTTCATAGACTAATGACAGTCCTGAGTTTTAGGGCCCCCATTACTGGGCATACCATCAGAAGTCTGTCCCTGTAAAAAAAAAAACCCAGGGCCCTCTCCTGCAGCAAATATACTAAAATTAGAACAATTCAGAGACATGAGCATGGCTCTTGTACAAAGATGACACACAAATTTGTAAAGTGTTCCATATTTATACATCCTGTGTTCATGGATTGGAAGAATTAATACTATTAAAATGGCCATACTACCTAAAGCCATCTATATAGTCAATGCAATACCCATCAAGATACCAAAGGCATTCTTTACAGAAATAAAAGAAACAATCCCAAAATTGGCATGGAACCTTAAAAGAACTCAAATAGACAAAGCAATCTTGAGAGAAAAAAAAGAAGAAAAAAAAAGCTAGAAATAGCAAACTTCCTGATTTAAAACTATAGTACAAAGCTATAATAAAATAGTATGGTATTGAAACAAAAAAATAAACATGTAGACCACTGGAGCAGAATAGAGAGCCCAGAATTAAATCCTAGCATATACAGTCAACTAGTATTCAAGAAGGGAGCTAAGAATACCCAACAGGGAAAGAATGTCTCTTCAACGAATGGTGCTGGGAAAACTGAAGAAACATATGCAAAACAATGAAATTGGACCCCTGTATTACACCATTCACAAAAAGTAACTCAAAATGAATCAAAGACTTAAATATAAGAACTGATACCATAAAACTTCTCAAATACGTGGGGAATAAGCTCATCAATATTGGTCTTGGCAGTGATTTTTGGATATGATGCCCAAAATACAAACAACATAATCAAAAATCAACAAGTGGGACTACATCAAACTCAGATCCTCCGCACAGCAAAAGAATCAACAAAATTAAAAGACAACCCACAGAAAGGAAGAAAATCTTTGCAAACCATATATCAGATAAGGGGTTAATATTCAAAATATATCAAGAACTCATACAATTTAATAACACAAAAATAAACAATCTGTTTAAAAAATGGGCAGAAGAACTGAATAGATATTTTTCCAAAGAAGACATCAAAATGGTCAACAAGCACATGAGAAGATGCTCAGCATCACTAATCATCAGGCAAATACAAACCAAAACCATGATGAAATGTCACATCACACCTGTTAGAATGGCTGTCAGCAAAAGGACAAGAGACAACATGTGCTGGTGGATGTAATGAAAAGAGAACCCTTATACACTGTTGGTGGGAATGTAAACTGGTCCAACCACTATGGAAAATAATATGGAGCTTCCTAAAATATTAAAAATAGATCTACCATACAATCTAGCAATTCCGCTTCTGGGTATATATACCCAAAGGAAATGAAAACAGGATTTCAATGAGATATATGTACTCCCATGTTTATCACATCATTATTCACAATCACCAAAAGATGGAAATAACCCAAATACCATCAATGGATAAATGGATAAAAAAAGAGATCTGGTATATATACACAATAGGATATTATTCAGCCATAGAGAAAGGAGATATCCTGCCATTTGTGACATTAATGGACCCTGAGCAAATTATGTACAATAAGTCAGACCAAAAAAAAAAAAAAAAGGAAAAAAAAAAGAAGAAAAAATGAAACTACTATGTGATATCACATATGTGGAATCTAAAAAATAAAAACTTAAAAAAAAAAAAGAGTAAGCTGGTAGTTATCACGGGATGAGGGTGGGAGGATAAGACTAACAGTGTTTAATTTGTAACAAATAGTAAATAAGCCATAGAGATCTTATGCTCAGTATAATGAATATAATTATGTAACATGATAAATACTGCTACAATAGCAATCACAGTATATAAATATATCAAAGTAACATACTATATACCTTCAATTTACACAATGTTACATGTCAAATTTACTCAGCAAAAAACAAGCCCCTCTCCAAGAAAAAGAGACACATAGATCAACAGAACAGAATAGAGAGCCCAGAAATCAAATTGCCCATATATAGTCAATTAACAACAAAGGAGCCAAGAATACACAATAAAAAAGGATAGTTTCTTCAATAAATGCTGTTGGGAAAACAGGAGAGCCACATACAAAAGAATGAAACTGAACTCTTTTATCATACACGAAAATCAACTCAAAATAGATTAAAAACTTTATATATCAACGTCTACTTAGTTTTAATATCATACCTCTTCATGGAACTGTAAGAACTCTGAACAGTGTAAGTCCATTTATACCCCTAGCCTTTATAGTACTATTATCATATATCTTACATCTAAAAACATAAATCTCACAATACAATGTTATAATTTTTACTTTTAAAAATATAAAAGATCCCCAAAATGAGGCCAATCATTCTAAATCACCCATCAACACTCAATTCATGAGGGTGACAACCCCACTAATTTAGTTCAGAATCCCCGTGGAGAATATATCTGTCCATTTCAAACTTCACTCTTGGAGGGTATGTAAAAAGGCCCAGATCCTGTAAGGCTTGGAAGGATATCCATCTTACCCAATAAATGTAACACAGGCTATTTAAATGTTAATTGTTGAGGAAAAAAATTCCCAATAAAGTAACCCCATGTATCTCCCCATGAGTCTTACTTTAACCTTGGGGAATTTCATACATTGTTAAACACTGCCTCCCGAATAGTGAATCCTAAAATCCCATTCCCTAACTTTCATACTTTAACCCAGCTTGTATCCAAAATACCTTTTCCTTATTCCCTTGGTAGTTATTAGACATACTAGGAGGCTTAAAAAATAAGTGCAGATAATTGAATTGTTAAACAAACAATGATTTGCTTTAAAACCACCCTTCTGCTGCAGAGTGTAAAGGCCCTGTTCTGAGCAGCCTTGAGAGAGTCAAACGCTGGACTCAAAGACTGGTAGGTTCTCAGAAGCAACTTGTCTGGATTTCTCATTCTTCCTTTATTTGCCAGCCTCTTCCCAGGGGATACTATTTTGTATTTCAACATCAAGGGGTCCTCCTTGTATTAACAATAAGAACACTCTGAAGCATCTGTGCTCAAGGAGACCGAGAGTGACAGATTTCCATTCTACATTCTACCTAGGTTTTCCTTGATTTCCAGTATCTGGTATGAGAAATGTTCCCAATCTCCTCCACCCACTTTGAGGAAATTGTTGCAGTGATGGATCTTCTTAACCTTCTAAACAGCCTTACCACAGGGGCTTGACTTTCCCAATCCCAGAAGAATTGTTTTCATCTCTATCAAGGGGATTCAGGAAGAACATGAATCACAAGGTTTTACTGAGTCCAGTTCTGAATGGAACTAACTAGGGGAGACCTAAACTGTCCATGGATCAAAAAGAAAGAAAAAAATTCTAAGAAATTCAGTATGAGCTCTTAGTGTTACTGGCCCTTCTCCAAGCTCCAGCCCTGATGTGTTTGTTAATCCTCCCTCGGCCCTTTCTTAGGATGTGATTTAAAGTTTCTCTTAGATCTCATGCTTCTCTGAGAAGCTGATTTGTTTTACCAATGATCTTTCTGGAACTCTAACCCTAATCTCTATTAAACAGACCACATGTCTCTCCTCAGTTTTTTGCTAGTTTGGTTGGTTGTTTTGGCAATACCTTCAACTTGACTCAAACCAACATTTCCACAGTGGAAAAGGGAAAATCTAAAGGCATTACGGTATAACAATGTACCCCTGAAAAGTACTAAAAGAATTTTAAATTCTAAAAGAAAAAGATTTTAAAAGAATCTAATCCAGATATGTCCATTAGAGCTGTAATTGCAGAATCATACACAAGGAGAAAAGGTTAATTATACATAGTCTTGCACTGGAATTACAAAAGCAAGGACAGTGCCTAGTAAATCTGACAGTTTTTGAAGATAGAACTCAGAGTCGACAGGATAAATCTGTGGACATATTAGCCTTATATTTGAGACCTATTTCAATAGAGTTCTGTATAGAAAAGACTAATCTATGGGGACAGAAAATAATTTGTCGTGAGCATTGTAAACAATCACAGGTAAATATTAGAAGGCAATAGTTTTTGGCAGTGAAACTGCCTTAAAATGAGTAGACAATTGCCACTCAAATGGGGCAACTTTTATATCTAGGGTAAGAGATGTGGCATGAACTAATAAAATGTGCAACCATGGAATAGTGATATATTAGTAAAGGGTAAAAGTAAAATAAAAATAGAATGATTTGAATAAAAGTAATTCAAGCAGAGCTCAGTGATTACTATTTTAAATATTTACGGAGCAAACACGATTTGTCAAGCAA